TACTTAAACTGTTAGCATCCATTTCCATATTATTATTTAAAATTTATCAATTAAACTCAAACTGTGACACTATAGTTGCTATTCTTCAAGCCTTACATGAGGGCAGTAAGGAAGTATGGTTGGAAGATGATGAGTGAATAACTAGAAAATCATAAAAGAGGGAATTTAGGCCAAATTTCATTAGGTACATGCAGTTCAAGCTAACCTTTGCTATCGTCTCTTCCCTGGTATATATAATGGTTATATATGGACCAAGTGCCACCTTCCTCTCAGTTTTTTCTTTATCCTGCTTTTGCTTTAAGTAATTCAGTTTTGGTTGTGTTTTTGAGTGAGATCATGGTGCTGGCTTCCGTTTTGCAGAGAACTTGTAATGCTCTCTCATAATTTGCAATAAAAGCTAAATTTCTTGTTGAAAAAAAAAAAAAAAAAGCCTTTACTATCGTTTCTAAGGGGTAGTGATCAACATCATGGTGAGTAATGAAAGTAGGTCTGGAGGTGTAATTGTTAATCATGAAAGACGCTCTTCAGGTTTTCCCAACCTGCTTACGAACCTTGATTGGTGATATTTTTAGCATTAATTATATATTTTATTTGGTACATCGGATGAGTGTGATATATACAACAAGAATAATTTTCTTATTTTCCACATCTCTCCCAACACTTTTTCAATGTTTTGGTACATGTTTAGATTTTTTTTATTCCTTTAACAGGGGGAGTGTGAAAGGAAAAGAGAAGAGAAAATAACGGATGTAATGGGGAATTGGGATGCATAGGGTTAGGTTTATAGCGAAAGAATGCTGATTGTTGGGTCAAGAAAAGATCTATGAAAAGGTCTCTCCACCTTGTGGCAATTAATAGGTAGATAGACCAATTACGAAATATTGTTTTCAATTCACTTTTTTCTTTTCTTTTCTTTTTCTTTTTTTTTTTCTTCTGTATATCAGATGATGTTTTATACAATAATTAAGAATAACCCCCTCCAATGGTCTTAAAATTTGAAATTAAAATCTCTAATTTAAAGTCTCATACATTAATTTAACTAGCCTAGAGACCTCTCAAGGTTTTTGATCATGTATATATCATTGGAAAGTTCATAGATAATCTTTGTTTCTTTTGAATTTTTGAGTTGTTTATTCTTAAAAGTAATATTTGAATCTAAAATTTTTAAAATAAAAAGAAACCATGTATGTATTAATCTTTAAATTAAGGAGGATGGGCAATACAGATCAACAAAAAAAAAAAAAAAGGGATGATGGACAATAATCTTCTATTCCTTTACATATCTCATAGAGCATAGAATAGCAAAAACATGGTAAAATATCAGTTTGATTTCCATAGATATTTTTAGCACTGGAAGTAGCTTCGACATAAATGTGTTCAAACCCTAGGGTTTCTTCAAGGTCATCAGCCTCTTGAATATTGGCCACAAGATGGCTATCTAATTAAGAAGGAAGGTGAGTTTTTCGTTTCCAGGTTTCAACCACACATTCAGCATCGCCGAGTTGTCCTTTTTCATTTTTCTCCTCCTATTTAGCCCACTGTAGCTACTAAACAAAAAGAAGTAATTAAAAGTAAAAAAATTGTGTATCACACCTTAACATCTAGATCTAATCCTAAACATAAAAGAATTTTCAGCTTGAACTAACACAAAAACTTATCAATTGGGGCTTAAAAATTTCAGTTCGCTATTAATGAAGTGAAGACTGTCCTCCATAAAATAGTTATAAGAGTTAAGTATACGTTTTTGGTAAGCCGGTTCTGATATATAACATTTTCCTGGCAATCCAATCCCAATTCTGGAACAAACAGCGAGAAAAGGAAACCTAACAATCACAAGAAACAAACAGAGCCATAGCCAGAGACATGATTCTCCCTATAGAAAATAAAATACTGGTTAATTCCCAGTCTGATACCAAGTCTAATGTCTTCTTCGGAAAAAATATGTATTAAAAAAGGAAGCAATTCTTCGAAAGATTCTGATCCGAACCTTAAAATAAAGAAATGTCAACGATCCCCATGCAGCATGCACACGAGAAGACAAAGGGAACAAGTAGCCTCCCATTTTATTATGTTCATAATACCCATTTTTCCTTCTTGCCCATGTTTTCTCTGCTAATCCTCTTAATTTAATCCTTAGAATTTCTGCCATCTATTTTTTCTAGACTAAAATATTAATTTGGTCCCTCAACTTTTAGATTTATATTAAAATTATCTTTAACTTTAAAAAGCACTAAAATTATCCCTAAATTTTAATTTTTTATATCAAAATAATCCTTATGTTAACAAAAGTGTTACGTGACTTGTTATTTTGCCATAAAATCAATTTTTTAAAATATTAATAACTTGTAAAATTAAATAGTTATATTTTATCATTGTAGTATATTTCTAGTTACATATTAGATTGATATGAAATTAAAATTGAATGACTAAATTAATATTTATAATCAAAGTTCAATGTCTAAGTTTGTACTTATCTTCAAAATTCAAGAACTAAATTAGCATTGAATTAGAGTTCAAGGACTATTTTAGTTTCAAAAATTAAAGTTTACGAAGAATTTTAATATTTTTTGAAGTTGAAGAATAATTTTGGTATGAATCTAAAAGTTAAGGTACTAAATTAATATTTTAACCTTTATCTATAACATGGGTATTCAGATTTTAGCTTGACTAATTATAATCTTATCAATATTTGTAAACCACTCTATTTACAGGTGGATACGCCAATAGTTTTTTTCGCAACAAAAATTAATATGTAATTCCAGACAATGCAAGCTAGTTTTGGATGTCGCTATTAGCCAAAACCTAATCCTCTCAACTGATTCCTCTTTCGTACCCATAGACCATTTGGGGCGACGAAACAGTCCAAATTCTCTTGGTGAGTCTTGGGAGGAGCGACCTGTTTGGATGTGGATGCAAGGAAAATGAAATTGAATGCCTCAAATTTCGCATCTTTAGATTATGAAAATCAAAAGGGGTCCTCAAAAGATGCCACAATCTTGCTTCATGAGTGGATTAATTCTTGAAAGTAATGCATCAAGCAATATTATTTTCCAGGCAAAAAAAATCATATTTCAACTATATGACACATTTATATCTTTATTTTCATTATTAACTTATAAGTCTTATATTCTGTTGTTTGGATTACAAAATAAGAGTTATTGAATAAGATAAAACTTTTAATATCAGGGTATTATTTTTATTCAATAGTAAATATTGTGTAGTACAACTGTAAAATATTTTTTCAAATTTTTAAGTCTAGCGTAATTTTGGTCCTCCCATCACAATCCATCAAACAAAATTATACATATTTTGTCTATGAAAACCTAAGTATATTCTCTCACATTTGCCTTCTACAATTAAAAAAGTGTTAGGAAAATGATCGATGCATCTCGACTTGTTAATTAAATTCGAATGCATAAGCATGACATGATCTAAGACCCACCAAAATTGACTGAAACTTACTTCTTCCGGTCCCCATCTGCGGCCCCCTCCTAATTCCATCTTCGACTTTCATTTCCTTCTTTAATCAAAACCAAGCAAAACAAAAGTCATAGCATAATTATCTATATTTGCCCCCTAAAAGTTAAAGCCGTGGAAGTTAACAATAAAAGCATGGGGAGGAGACAACAGTGGTATATGATTTAAGAAAAAGTCTTAGTTTAGGTAGGAAGAAAATTGACAGGTCGACAGAGGAAATGACCTCCCTCCCCACACACATTATGAAACAAATAAACATATTGAAGTACAAATTTAAGAAAATAATTTGAACATATTCTTGTTTGATACACATGTCGACACTCAACAAATTTAATTATTAAAATATAATATATATGTAGTCAATTTAACTTATTTCTTTATTTGTTGGCATATTGTATTTTTAAATTTTTCTACTTTTAATTTTAAATTAAAAATAATTATTTTTAATAAATATGTTAAACTTAATGATGTCTATATTAA